CTCCTGAGTGTATTTGGGGCTTTTCCAACCTCTCGGATCTAGATAAACACGTCTGTCTCGAAGGCAACCGGCTCGCTAAAGCAACATGCAAACTCGTTCGGCAAGCTATTCGATACGGAGTACCGTTCATGATCGAGAACCCTGCCTCTTCTATGCTCTGGCTTGTCCCGTTTGTGAAGCACATCGCTGAATCCAAGTTCGCTAAGTCTGTTGTGTTCGACCAGTGCCAGTTTGGGGCTGACTTCAGGAAGCGGACCGCCATCTTGATGTCCTCAGATCTCGACGACTCTTTCCTGAACCAAAGATGTGTGGGCAAATCAGGTATATGCTCTAGGTCAGGAAAACCCACGAACATCTTGAAGGAAAAGATATCTCTGGATGGAAGACCGACCGTGCTAAACACTACCCTCCTCGTCTCTGCACTGCTATCGCCGGCGCCTTCAGATCCCTGTGGGCCCAGAAGCACGTTGCAGGTTCGATGGCACGGACGACCGACCATCCAGGAACGGCCTCTCCCTCCCGTACCCGCCCGAGGCCAAACCATCTCTGAGATTCGGGACCTCTTGATGGTGATTGGGGACATAGAGCAGTAGAATTCTATGCTGACTGGTGGCAAGCCTGTGATGTATCGCTTTGGGATACCATTCTATTGGCCGAGTAAATCGTCATGAGAGTGCGTGCACAGTAATGACGACACGGGGGCCGTACTGTGACACGAGTAGGGGGAAGGCAGCAGGAGCGTCGCGTGCCTCGCCCGTCCCGTGCTCATAGCCTTCTGTTGTTCCCGACCCGACCCGCCCTGGGACATAGAGCAGTAGAATTCTATGCTGACTGGTGGCAAGCCTGTGATGTATCGCTTTGGGATATCATTCTATTGGCCGAGTAAATCGTCATGATGATGATGATGATGATGATGATGGCCGTGCTGACGATGATGATGATATTGACTGTGATGATGAACGCGATGACGACGATGTTGATGATGATAATGATGAGGACGATGATGTCGACGCAAACGGTGTTCACGACGGTGACCATGATGATTGTGATGCAATGATGTTGCGATGGTGACGATTGACCTGGCGACGAAGATGGTGATGACGATGTTGATGCTGATAATGACGATGATGGCGATGAAGCTGGTAACGACGACGACGAAGATGACGATGACGATGTTGAGGACGATGATGACGGGGATCACGATGATGCTAACGCCAACGACAACGCTGATGACGATGCTGATGATTACGAATATGGTGGTCATGGCGTTGACGTTGGCGATGACGATGTCGATGGTGATGATGGGGACGATTGTGCTGACGGAGATGATGGTGATGATGTCGGTGATGAAGATGTCGGCGGTGATGATGACGATGATGATGACGACGGCATGGGGGCGTGGTGGCAGGGGCGCGGTGGGAGGGCCCCAGCATGGATGTTGCAGGGCGGGGGGGCCGTAAGAATGTATGCTCTCAGGTTCCAGGAGGCTGGTGCTGTTAGACGTGGTGGGGGCGCGGTGGGGGCGTGGGGGGGGGGTCCCGGCAAGGATTTTGCAGAGTGGGGGGGTCCTAAGAACTTGTGCCCAGAGGCTCCAGGAGGCTGGCGGTGTCAGACGTGTTGGGGTGTGGTGGGGACGTGGGGGGGGGTCCCGGCAAGGATTTTGCAGGGTGGGGGGCCCGAAGAATCTGTGCCCAGAGGCTCCAGGAGAATGGCGGTGTCAATCGTGGTGGGGGCGTGGTGGGGGCGCAGTGGGGGCGTGGTGGGGGGGTCCCGGCAAGGATTTTGCAGATGGGGAGGGCCCTAAGAACCTATGCCCAGAGGCTCCAGGAGGCTGGCGATGTCAGACGTGGTGGGGGCGTGGTGGGGGAGTCCCGGCAAGGATTTTGCAGGGTGGGGGGGCCGTAAGATCTTATGCCCAGAAACTCCAGGAGGCTGGCGGTGTCAGACGTGGTGGGGGCGCGGTGGGGGCGTGGTGGGGGGGTCCTGGCATGGATTTTGCAGGGTGGGAGTGCTCTAAGAACCCATACCCAGAAGCTCCAGGAGACTGGCGATGTCGGACGTGGTAGGGGCGTGGTGGGGGCGTGGTGGGGGGGTCCCCGCAAGGATTTTGCAGGGGACAGAGGCTCCAGGAGGCTGGCGATGTCAGACGTGGTGGGCGCGTGGTGGGGGAATCCCGGCAAGGATTTGGGCGAGAAATCGCGGGGTGGGAGGTCCCAAGAACAGAATTTCCGTGTGGTGGGGATTCGGGGCGAGGAGAGAAATGTTGGTCGGTTTGGGGCGAGAAATTGTTGGGTGGGGGATCCCAAGCACAAGGTTCCGTGTGGCGGGGGTGCCAGAGCGAGGGGGTGGGTGGGGGGTGGTTCATTTTGGGCGAGAAATCGTGGGGCGGAGGGTCTTAAGAACAAAGGTTCCGTGTGGTGGGGATGCTGGGGCGAGGAGGGGGGTGTTGGTCGGTTTGGGGCGAGAAATCGTAGGGTGGGGGATCTCAAGAAACAGAAGTTCCGTGTGGTGGGGATGCCGGGGCGAGGAGGGGGGTGTTGGTGTTTTGCGGAGTCAGAAGAACAGTAATCCCAGAGGGTGAGGAGGCCGGGCATGGTGGGACGCGGGGTGGGAGTCAGGGTCGGGTCCGGGTGAGAGATGGTCGGGCGCGGCTTCCCAAGAACAGTAGTCCCAGAGGGTGAGAATGACGGAGCGTGGTGAGGTGCGGGGGGGGGGCAGGGTCGGGTCTGGGCGAGAAATAGTCGAGTGCGAAATTCCGAGGAGAGTAGTTCCGGAAGGTAGAGCTGTTAGGACGTGGTGGGGAGCGGCCGTGATAGGGAAGCGAAGGGGAGTGTTGGGCAGAGTGGGGCTAGAAATTGTCGTGTGGGGAAATCTCAAGAATGGAGCTGGCGTGAGGTGTGGGTGCAGGGCTGTGGAAAGGTCGAGGGGAGGGAAGGCGGCGGCGAGTTTAATGTCCCACGAACAGAGGTTCGCAGTAGTGGCGGTGGTCGCGGTGCTCAGTATTAGAAGATGGCGACCAGTAGCGTGTAATGCACGAAGGGCCATCTCACACGCCTCTGGGGTCGGCGGATCCCATGCGTTTTTGAGGAACTGGTACATGCGAGTCGCGGTTGTCGCCGGGTTCCCCAGGGTTTCGTAGAATTTGGTTCTGTGTCCTCGCAAGGGGGGCTCCTAGGGTTCATTGGTCTTGTTCCTTCCGAGGCGTTGCCCGGGTTCGTTGGTCTTGGTTCCTTGGTTATTTGGTCTTGGTTCCTTGATCTTGGTCTTTGGTCTTGGATCACTGGTTATTTTGTCTTGGTTCCCTGGTTCCTTGGTGTTGGTTCCTTGGTTCCTTTGCCTTGGTTTCTTGGCTCCGTGGTCTTAGTTTCTCTGGTCCTTGGTCTTGGTTCCCCTGGTTACTTAGTCTTCGTTCCTTGTTTGGTTGGTCTTGGTTCCTTGGTTCCTTGGTCTTGATTCCTTGGTTCTTCGGTCGTAGTTCCTTGATCCTGATTCCTTGGTTCCTTGGCTCCTTGGTCTTAGGCTCTCGGTTCACTGATCTTGGTTCTTTGGTGTTGGTTTCTCTGGTTCCTTGGTCGTGGTTCCTTGGTTCCTTGGTTGTGGTTCCTTGCTTCCTTGATCTGGGTTTCTCTGGTCTTTGGTCTTGGTTCCTTGGTTCCTTGGTCTCGGCACTCGGTTCCATCCAGACTTGCGACTGGGCCTATCACTATGCAGGTATCAAAGTGTTTGACCATTCTTCCACATGGCACGCGCGGACCCGCGGCCCGCGTGCCCTCGGGCAAACTGAGAGAGGGCAAGGGTCCCTCAAGATCTGAGGTCTCGTAGCCTCGTAAAAACAGGCGGAGTAAGTTTCAGGGGACAAGGTTTTCTTCTGCTGAAAGACGAAGTTGAGTAAGTTCAACAAGAACGCGGAGAAAGTTAATCCATGTAAAAGAACGTGCGGACGAAGTTGTCACTCTGTAATTGATCGATCATTCTAACAAGAAGCGGGGTGGGCGGGATCCGAAACCTACTCCGTCGCAGGCGGATGCCATGTTGAAGGATTCTACGGGGGGGGGCCTCGTCGACGGGATGGTCAAAACTTTGATAACGGCGTTAAGTTTTTTTTGAAGAACCTGTTGGTGCGCCTTGAGGTGGTGCTGGCCTTTCCAAGGGGTTCTCGGTCTTGTTTTCTTGCAAGGGCATTCCCCAGGGTTCCTTGGCTGTGTTTCCTTACCAGGCGTTGCCTGGTATCGTTGGTCTTGGTTCAATGGTTCCTTGGTCTTGGTTCCTTGTTTCGTTGGCCTAGGTTCCTTGGTTCGGTAGTCGTGGTTCCTTGGTCTTGGTTCCTTGAGTTCCCTGCTACCTCGCCACGCAATGCCAAGGAATGCCACGCAACGCCAAGCAATATGCCAAGCAATGCGCCCATGCAATAGGAAGCTTTCCCGAAGTTGGGGTCGCGCCGGGCTCATTCGTACCACAGCGCCCTGGAATCCGATATGGCTGGACCTCGGGAGGCGGTTACATGCATAATTTTTGGCCCCTGAGGGCCCAAGCGTGTTCACATCCACCGCCTCCAGAGTTCCCAGGACGTCGGCTCCCCAAGCGGTGGACATGTATACCAGGGTTGGACCTAAACGGTGTTTTTGCGACTTCGTGGGCCGTTGTCGTTTCGACTCCGTTTTGCGGTAGAGGTGAATTGAAGACAAAACCAGGGAAAACGAAAACAAAACGAAAACGAAAAACACCCTTCAGGTTCAGCCCTGATGTATACCCTCCCGCCTCGCACGACTCGATGCGACTTCCCGACTTCGATGCCGACTGATCCTGCCCCCGTCATCAGAGGCGACGATAGGAGCGAATAGCCCAGGGGAGAGCAATACATGTATCCAGGTGCGCCGATGATCTATGTCTTCGAAAAGGCCCCAGGCGAATACGTGTAGTGCGCGCCCCTGGGCTCTTCGCCTCTCATCGTCGCCGCCGACGTCCGCGCGGGGCCCTCTTCGGCGTCCCCGGTGTCGCAGGGGCGCCGGCCAGGCAAGGGCGGCGTCGAGAGGGGGCGCAGCGGCGGGCACGGCTGGTCGCGCCGCGGCGGCGTGAGCAGGCGTGCCTGAGCGGGCTGGGAGAGACGGTCGCCGCGGCCCCGGGCGGACATGTGTGTCCGCCCTGAAGCGCGTCCGGAGGGTTTTGTTCGCCGTTCGGGGCTCTCTGCAGGGGGCCCTCCACAGGCCCCGGGAGTGTCCCTGACCATGCGAGGCAAGCGCTTCAAGCAGTGGCGAAGCATCCTGGCTCGCCGATAGGCCTACCAAAGAATGTTCTAAGAACCTTCTGTGGTTTCAAGGAAATGTTCTTGGAACATTTCTGGCTGGGGCTGTCTTGTTTTAATACATCGGGTTTATGTTCTAAGAACACTGTTTTTGTTCTTAGAACATTCTTGGGTTCTAAGAAAATTTCGTGGTAGGCCTATAGGAATGCTGGGACCGTCGGTCCCTGCTCAAGTGTTGACGCATCCATTGACAGAGCCTAGTTCCCCATACCACGCTTCACTGCGTGCAGGAGTTTGTTTCAGCAGTTCCCGTTGAGCGTGCTCAGCGCAACGGGGCTGGCCATTAGGGTGTATGCCGTACAGTCAGTTCCTATGATCGTTCTTCTTCCCATACCATTCTACCTTCCGTGGCATATCTCCCTCAGCCAACTCCCCTACCCCCTGTCATTCTCGCCAGGTTTGCTCACACCGTGACCTGCTGTGCGGCTGGGCAGCGGATGTGAAGTCCTCAAGCACGAGTGTGTGAGGCAAGCCGGGGAATTGCCGCGTGCTGGCGCTACCAGCCGATGCAACACCTCATGGTCACCATGCTTGTACTCTAGATGGGGACCAAACATGCGGTTCGGAAGATCTCGAACTGCTCTCCTGGCAGACTCTCTTTGGCGGAGAGGCCAGGCATTTTATTAGGTGGTGTTTTCTCATGTGTGCGCGTCTCCACCGCAGCCTTGGAGATTGCCGTGGTTTGCCAGTTGGGGCTCAACGCATGCCTTCTGTTTTCCCGAGACACCGTTACATGTAATCGACCGGCATCCCGCATCTCCTGCAGAGTCGGGCTGCCTCGAGCGATGTTCGCGCTCGGGGGACTCTGTGAACAGTGACAGGACCGCCGAAGAGGCGATGTGAGTTCAATGATGATGGAGCATTGGCCCGACGTGATAGAAACGCAAATTCTTTCGCCTCGGGGAGGTGAAACATATTACCAGCCTGGTCCAGGATCGTATTCGAAGTCGTTCGTATTGCATATTTGAGGTTAGCCAGCGCGGATCCCAAACAGTGAGTTGTTGCACTGTTGAGGTGAAAGCGGTGCTGTGTAAGCGATGCGGCGTCAGGCTAATTATGGAGGTGAAAAGTTATGCGGTGAATGATCTGTGACTCAAGTTATGTCGTGTGAACTGTGCGGTGGATGCTATGAGGCGTACACGGTGCAAGCTGTGTGGTGCAAGCTGTGCCGTGCAAGCCATGCGGTGTGAGCTGTTTGGTAATAGCTTGTGCGGTGCAGGCCATGTGGTCCAGGCTGTGTGGGTATGGAGCCATGAGGTGTCAGCCATCGGGCGCCCACGGGGCGGCGCGGGCTGCAGCGTGGCGGAAGCTCCGCATAGACCCCCCCGAGCGAGGGGCGCCCCTCTCGGGACTCCCCGTGGGGCACCCACGAGGCGCCCGCAAGGGCGGCACGGGCGGCAGCGGGGCGAAGACCCAACATGTATTCCCAGGCGCGCGGGCGCCCACGCGGCGCTCGCAGGGGCGGCGCGGGCGGCAGCGTGGCGGCCACCCAGCATGCCCAGCCAACTGCACAACGGAGCAGAGTAAGAACGCCTGAGGGTCACCTTGGGGGGGTGGCAGGTTCTGATGAAGCACAGTTGTGCTCACACAGGACGAGCACGTTCTAGGCGTGCCCGTCCCGAATCGTGTGCCCGGCCCCGCCTTTGCACATACGGGTGCATCACGGGCGCGTCCCTCCGTGCTGTCTTTGAAGCGGTCACGGCCACTTAGAGGGCTGGTTGGTGGATTTTATGAGTCCTCAAAAATCGTCGAGGGCGATTGGCTGATGAGCCTAAGAAGCGATCGAGGGGGCGAGAAGGAGGATGAGGATGAGGAGGTGGAGAAGGAGGAGATAGAGGGTGAGGAGGACAAAACAGGGGTAGAGAAGCAGAGAGGGGGGGGCAGACTGCTTTGCAATGACTGTGGAAAGTCTTGAGGTCTTCTTGAGACTCTCGTGGGCTGTCTTGGGGCTCTCGCGGGGCCCTCTTGGGCCCCTCCAATATTTTTGGAAGTTCGAGCGCCGCTCCTGGACAGTCTTTCGGGTCACCTCACGCACTCCTGAGGCCACCTCGGGCCCAATGGCGAAGGGCCCAACCCTGGGCAGCTCGTTGTAGCGCAGGGCGTGGCTCTCTCCTCATGCAGTGCACGCCGCGGGAGGGATCTAAACCAGTGAATTGCACATCCGTCGATGCGGAACAGGCACGCAGAAGCGCGCTGGTATCCGTTCTAGACATGGTCTGTGTGAGCGGTGTGCCGAAAGGGCTTGGGACCGCATGCGAGGACCCCCCCTGAGACCGTGGGCGGGGGTTCCGATGAGGCGCGATCTGTGTGAGCGGAGTGCCGAAAGTGACGGGACCCGGAACCAGACATCCGGCTGCTCTAATTTTTTCGGTGCGTGGGCCCCGGAGGTCCAGACCACTTCTCTGGGGCCTGTTTTTCGTCTCGAATCGTTTTTGTTACGCTCCCGAAGCCCTGCGAGAGCCCCCAGAGGCCGAACACAGCCAAAAACCGTCTGCTCCAAGTTTTGTTGGAGCGTCGGATCTCAGGGCATGAGAGCACGTCCACTGGGGCCGTCAGTGGACCTCCCTGTGGGGCACGATCCGTGTGAGGGGGTGCGTCGCGACGGGCGGGGCCCCTGCATGGCGAGCATTTTACCGCTGCTGCCGTGTAGCTCCCCCGTGGGGCACGATCTCCGCGCGAGGGGCACATGCCGAGCTGGGCGCGGGCCCGCCCGCGGGCGCAACCACTGGGGCCTCAGGCAGAGCTCGCTGCTCAGAGGTCCGATGTCGTGATCTTCTCGATCGTCGCTTTTTTGTTGACCTTCCCGGGGCCGAGCGAGGGCCACCATAGAGAGGCCGAGAGTTGCGAAAAACCTTTCCTTTTATTTTTGTCAATACGTTGGATCTCGGGGTGCTGAGTGTGATCCGTGTAAGGAGTGTTCGAAGAAGAAGAAGAAGAAGAGGAAACGCTATGAACATAAACTCTTGGCGCTCCGCGCGGATTTCCTGGATCCGCGTGTTGGGCTCCCCCCGGCGGCGCCTCCGGCACCGCCCCTGGCGCACTCCGTGCGCCAGGGAGAGGGGTCCAGCGCAGATCCAAGAAATCCGGGCGGAGCGCCAAAAGTTCACACATCGTTCATGTCTAGTTCTTCGAAAGTCCTTTTGATTCTTGGGGGGCCACGATCTTGTCATTTCTAGTGGTTCTATCCTGGGCCTCTTCCTGGCCACCAGGGGGCCAGGAACACTTGGAAACGAGCACCATCAGAAAGGAGCACGGTCAGACATGAACGACGTGTCTGTTCCTGGCGTGTTTTTATCTTCCTCCACGTGTGCCGAGAGGAGCGGCGGCCCGCATGCGGGCGGCCAGCCCTGCGGGCGAGGCACGGGGGAGCTGACCCAGCGCGGCCCGCGCGCGCGTGCGCGGGCGGCGCGGACCGGCCGGCGGCAGCATCAGGGCCGCGGCACCACTATCTAGGCAGCACGCAGCACGCAGGAGGGGAAAAAACACACAGACACAATTATTCGTCGATTCCCAGAAAATATTGGAAAATATGGGAATTGGGCGGGAGGACAAAAACGTAGAAAATGTGTGAAAATATGGGGAATTATTTTATTTGTGTGTATTTATTTGTGTGTCCTGGAGCCCCGTCAGCAGCACGCAGCACGCAGCATGCAGCAGCCGGAGCTTGTTTCGATTCCTCCGGTTCGATTCGGTTCGGTTTCGAGGGCTTCCGATTCCGATTCGAGCCGACTTCGGATTCCGACGTGGGGTCCGATTCCTCAATGGAGGCCCACTGGCCTGCCGATGCCTGCCAATTCGACGCTCGATTCGGTTGCCGATTTCCGTCGATCCGATTCATGTCGATCGCCGATCCGACTTGTCGATTCGATTCTGGGCTCCCCTGGCAGCAGCAGCAGCAGCGGCAGAAGAGGAGAGGAGGGAGGGGCAGGCAGGCAGTGAGGAGGTGCGCAGCGCAGCGGAGATGCGACGAGGACCCCAACAACGCAGGAGGGTTGGGAGAAGCGAGCCGGGAGCTCTCAGAGCGGCTGTCCTACAGGCCTCCATTGGGGCCTCCCATTCGCTCTGGGGGGGTCTCTCTGGGCGTCCGGGGCCTTCCCGGGGCGGCGTCCGAGGCTGCCCCGACTGCCCTTGCCTGGGCCGAAGAGGCGCCGTCCGAGCCGCTCCTGGGTGGTCGGGGCGCAGGGCCGCCCTGGACGAGCCGAGCCCCCGCCCGGCATCGAGCAGCAAGCGACGGGTGTGGGGGGCCCGGTGGCGGGGGGTCGGGCCGAAGGAAAGTCGACGACGAGAAAGGGGGGGACAGGGAAAGGGGGGTTACGAAATCTGCTGCATGCAGCTGGTTTCGGTCCACCCGGCATCAAGTATCAGTATCCATCGTCCAGTGTGGGGACCCGGTGGAGGGGGGCCCGCGTGCATCGAAGAAGAAAAAACGCCATAAACATATAAACTTTTGGCGCTCTGCGCGGGTTTCCTGGATCCGCGCTGGGGACCCCCCGGCGGCGCCTCCGGCGCCGCCCCTGGCGCGCTCCGCGCGCCAGGGAGGGGGTCCAGCGCGGATCCAAGAAGTCCGCGCGGAGCGCCAACAGTTTATGTTCATGGCGTTGTTTCGTCTTCCAGACGTGGGGGCCCAGTTGAGGGGGGCCCGCGGGCAAACGAAAGCAGCACGCCGAGGGGCCCCGGAGAGGGTCGGCGGTGGGAGCCTCGAGGCGTCTTCTCTTGCACGTGCGGGCTGGTCGCTGGCGTTCGATGTCTTTGCCTCTGCCGCGGAGGCCAGTGCGGCGGCCCGTGCTCCAGCGGGCCTCGCACACAAGATGCGAGGGGTAATTGCGAGGGGTGCTTTTTGCACGGCGACGCCCCAGTGAGCCGATCCTGCGCTCTGCGACCGAGAGAGAGAGAGAGAGTGAGAGAGAGAGAGAGTGAGAGAGAGAGAGGGCTGAAAGTCTAGAGCCTTAGTCCGGATACCGCATCACGAGGCGAGGCGTGTGCCTGATTTCCGCTTCGGCGAGGTCGACTCCCAGGGTCACAGTGACACGCCGCGGACATTCTTGAGGCTAGCTTGCCGATCGTGAGAGGTGGGGGGGGGCTGCGAATCAGGCATGGGAGCGACTGCCCGTGCTCGGTGGTGGGCTCTTCGAGCCCCTCGATCTCGACTGCAAGGAGAAGGGGGGAAACGGGGAGGGGGTGGAGGGGGGGAGGGAGGAGGGGCCGTTCCGGAGGGACCAGGGGAGGGGGGGCGAAGCGAGGGGTTTAGGAAAGGGGGAGGGGGGGGAGGGGGGAGGGGCCGTCCCCGAGGGACCGGGGAGGGGGGGGGGGGGAAGCGAGGGTTTTTTTGCCAGAGAATTCTCGGGGTCGGTGGAGCTCCTCGTCTGGACGCGCTGCTGATCCCTCTTCCTCTGCTGGCCCGGGCCCGCGGCGCTCCGCGCCCGAGGGGCCCTGCGCCAGGAGGCCCTGCGCCAGGATGTTGGCAGAGGCTGAGCGGCCCCCGCATCCGATCTGAGCGCGGCGGGGAGTCGCGGAGGGGGCCACGGGGCAGGGAACTGCCAACCTCGGGCGATCGCAGACATGGATCAGGGGGTCGTGGATTAGCGACGGGTCCCGTTTCCGTGGGAGATCGCGGATTTCCGCCGCCGAGCGAGGCGGGGAGGGCACCTCCCCCGATCCCAGGATTAGTTCGCGACCGCGCGCCAGATCCATAGATCGCCAATCCATGCCTTGCGCGCCCCCGATGAGAGGGTTGCCAGGGATGTCTCGCCCGAGGCGAGCACGTGAGCGGCCCCACGGCAGAAAGCGAGTGGCGTCGGTGGCCTGCGCCACGGGCGCGGCGAGGTCGGGCGAGAGGGGCGACGGGGCCGCATCCAGGGCCGAATTGTCCTGTGGTGGCCTGCATGTGCTTCGGGGGGGGGTCCTGTGGTTGCCGCGCTCAGCGTTCTCGTGCGGTGTGTCGGGCTGTTGTCCTGCAGTAGTGGTCCCGCGCGCTTCCCCCGTGGTCGTCCTGCCCTCGTCCGTGGCTGTCGCTTGGTCATCATCCGCGCCTGTCCGAGCTCGTCTCGCAATTGTCGCGTGGTTGTGTCTTGGCCGTCCCGTGGTAGGTGGGTAGGTGTGGACATGTAGTAGACGATAGTTAGATGGATAGGCATGAACAGCGTTGCTCCCCTTGTGTAAGCACCCCTGTCGAGAGGTGCTCCCTCCGTGCTCCCGTCAGGCTCACGCGCGGGCTAAGTAGGATTTTTATGTTAGACTTGTGGGAGCATCAGAGCAGCGGACATAACGTCCGAGGCTGCATTCCAGAGCGCGCTGGCTGCTGCCCGTAGGCTCTGGCGGAAAGCTCTTGCTCGTGGA